CTTAGCTTGTTCTAAGTAGGTGCTTTAGACCACTGAGCCATCTCACCAGCCCCAGTGAGACAATTTTGAATGGCGTTGGAGACTGACAGGAGATTAAAGAGGAGGGCGAGTCAGACAGAACACGCCTCCACTAGCTGAGGTAAGGAGAGAAAGTGTTCAAGAGGAAACAGGTGACACAGGTGCGAGACTAGCGTCCAGGAGCGGCGAGGCTGGACGTTCAACTGGGAAACCTGTGCATGAGAAGAACCGAGGCTGGGGAGGGGCAAGGGCCCCGAGCCAGGCCTGGGAGGCTGGGAGGGAGACGTCAGCCGAGGAGCAGAGGCCCTGAACAAAGTGGAGGCTACAGGCTACCTGGGGAGCCCCAGAGGTGGGATGGCGGCTAATGGGACAGGCTGTGAGCTCTCTGTGGTGGCCACACATGGCATGAAGAAGCAGTCTAGTAGCTCTCCTCGTAGAGCTGTGATGTTAGTGATCGCTTGGGCATTTGCCATTTGCTGTTGTGTTTACGGTTGGCTTTTAGGCTAAAGTGCTTTCATTTCTAGTCATATATTCATCACGTACGACGTGATAGCTTGAAGTACAGCACGCTGTGTGGAATGGCCGAATGAGCTCATTCCCACACATGCTCCGTCATTTGTGGTGCTGCCACTCACAGTCCTGCTTCACAGTTTTCGAGAACCGAGCACCATGGTGCTCCGTAGTCACCTTGTGCAGTGGGTCCCCTGAGCCTGCCCTGCCAACCGTGAGGCCGTGTCTCCCTCCGTCTTCCTCACCTTCTTAGCAGCGGGAGCTCGCCTCACAGATGCAGTCCTGGTCCTTCCCGCAGTTAGTGTTCTACTGGCACTTTTTACTTTTTTAGGGTTCAGTACTAGCGATTTATGCTTTCCGGGGAACATCTCTGTTCTCTGGGTTTCCTTTGCTTTGCTTAGCCTGAAGCTACGTGAAGTGGACTCTTCTAAGCTCTGCAGTTGCTGCTTGGCTTCTTTCTCCGTTAAGTATAAGAAGGGTTTATTTGGTCTTTTTAGAGAACCAGGTTTTAAATGTGTTCTGTCCACATTTTAAATTTGTATTTCACTGATTTGCACGTTTTTCATTACTAGCTTCTCACCCTTGGTGTCCTTTGATATATGGTTTGGTTTTCTTTTGTGGGATCTTTTTTGTTCATTTTTTTAAATTTTAGTGTATACTTAGCTCTTCAGTTTTTCATTATTAATGATGAGACTGCTTGCCTAAGTTTCATCAAGTGAAGTTTTATTTTGTCCCTTAAGTTTGGATGTGTTTTCCTTTTCAATGCTCTTTATGGAGCTTATGGTGCCCTTTTCATTTGTTATTATTACAATTATTTTTCATCTCTGGTAATCTGGAAGCATTTCTTGTATGTAAAGTGTTGCCTTGGAGCCTTGAAGCTGCACAAGGAGTAGTCCTCCTCCCCCT